TTAGGCTGCGTTCGGAAACATCACCCGTGTGCACACGAGCATCGTTCTATCTTTGTTTAACTTTTTTACATAACAAATATAGAACGACACTCGTGTGCACACGGGTGATGTTTCCGAACGCAGCCTAAGATATAAAATAATTCGAAAAATACTTAATAAAAAAATATTTTATTATAGTGTTTTGAAAAGCTCTTGAGCTAAGCTACAAGAATATGTAATATAAAATGGGGATTTCCATTTAAGAAATTAAAGATGACCTTCACATGACCTTCAAACGACTATCCGAAGTCGAACTAATGGCACCTTCTTATGTCCCCCTCCGAGTCAAATAACCTTTGTTGGAAACATTTTTTTTTTGAAAATGTATGGTTTTCGAGATATTACAGTGCGAAAGTTAAAATGGGACATTCATATACATATATACATATATATGACTATTTCAATTCTGTCAATCCAAGAAAACCTAACATTTCTTAAAATGATAAAAATGATAAGAATGACAGTAAATTGTAAGTCTAATGTATACATGCATATCACAAAGAATGACTTAGAATCACAAAGAATGACAAAGAATCACGTAGATTGTATTAATTAAGTTTAAAATGTAAACAAAATAATTAATAAAATTTATGCTTTAAATTGACAAATTCGAATAATAGATACACTTTATTTTACATATTTTAAAACAATTTATTTTTATTAAAATTTATTTTCAAAGAGCCATTTTTTTTTATAATTCATAATCCGTAATCTAGTTAAAACAATCTAAAAAGTTAATTGTTAGTTCAAAATATTTGATATAATGTATTTCATATTCCATGTCTCACACAATTAACAAGTTATACAATCGAAAAACGATTGATAATTATTTTTTGAGTTAATTTCACTAATTGCGTTGCAGCATACATGTATATCAGCATATAGTACATATAGTGTGTAGTATGATTAAGAAAGGTTATCTAATCAATTAATACTTCTAGGTATTATGATTTGCAAAGTCATTCGATATTTTGCGCTTGAGATGAATCTTAATGATATAGTTTCCGCAATTCATCGTGACTCATATCCTCGTTCACGCATCTCCTTGCGGTGGCACTTATAAGTTGATCTAACTTGGACCACAGCGGCCAGTATTCTTTCCACTCACATCATTGCAAGTTGGTCGGCTGGAATAGCTACGGATGTGTCAGCTGCTGCAATTACCAATTACGTTACCATCGCATTTAAGTACGTCATATTCGTCGTTTATTTGGATATTGTTTGTCGCGCTAAGTGAAATATTTCAACTATCGTAAGAATAGTAATATTTTGAAAGATAATTTTATCTTTGCATCCTTTTTTGTGAAAGAGGTCACTCAATCAGTCACTTCCTAATGTACGTATACTCCGTTCTTCGAGAGAGAATGTCTTCAATTTTCGTATTTCATGATCAGATCTCTCCGCGGACTTCGTTCACTTGTGGACGAAAAAAATGTAACTCATCAATAGATAATTTATCGAAAATAGTGACCGGTCCGCTAGTGTACAGTGTACACAAACGAAAACATCACGTGATATACACTGACGTCAGTTTGATACATTTATGGTTGTGTGGTATTGCTGGTGAACGGTATTATTCATTTTATTACGTCGCATTAATTCAAATTTGTAATAGTACGCGACGAGTTTCATTTCTATGATATAGTATATTAAGGTGAAGGAATGATTTCTTTATTCTCGTTTGTTTGATTTCAACGTGATAAGTTTGAGCTAAATGCGCATAAAATATTTTTCTTTGTTTAAATTATAATCGGGTACACAAAGACAAATATTTGTGGCATGAGACAGATCGTGAGGTTATGCAATTTATTAAAATCATAAAATAAAATCTTATTTATTATTTATTATTGCTAGTCGTTGGTATTAATTGGTGAGATTTAAATAAAATATAATTTATGCATGACAGTTTCACACACACACATACACACATAGTTTGAGCGCGCTACATTTAACGAAGCTGTATTATTTTGCTTCCTCATAGGAGAAGCTTTGTTTTCACGACAAATTTTTTTTCCAGTTTTCTATATCAATGTCTTTAAAATATTCTAAAACGTCGAAAAATCATATTTTTAAAAATATCTATATGTATATATGTATGTATGTATATACATATGTACGGAATGTACATTGTACAACCTCTAACTTTCGCAATTTTTGAGATATCGAGCTAAATTTTTTTAGATGAATAGGGTATCATTAAAAGATGGTTGGTATTGAATTTGGTGAGGATCGGTGAAAGTGTCCATTTTTTATAAAATTCTAAATTTTTTGAGAAATGTCTGTATACGCTGTAATTTTCGCAAATTTTAAGATATCTTCCTCTATGAGGAAACTAAAATTGAAAAACTCGCTTGCTTTAGGGAGCTTAAGCTTTGTGAGCGAAATAAAATGATGAAGAAACAATGTGCAAATTTCTAATTTGTACAACTTTTATCTTTTTTTTCAATAATTTGAAAACATTTGTTTAGCATCTTTTTCGAAAAAAAATTTTTATATTGCGATCTGTACTTCGATTTTTTATGCATAATCATACATATCCATAGATGAGATAGATAAGAGAGTTACCCATAGATATAAGATCTATGTATGTATTGTATGTACATATACATACATAGATCGTATACATATCTATATAAATGATTTATCGATCATTCTGATATTGATAAAATCTAATTAAAAAATTAATTGTCATAAATTTATATTTCGTTAAATATGTATTTGGCTTATCAAACTTTTTTATTAAATTTTTAATTTTTTCAAACAACCTTTTTTTAATGAAATATTATTTTTTCTTTTTTAGCAAACATCGCTCGAGATAATTGATTGGCAGCTGCAGGACAATGGAATCTTTTGAAATACTGTGCGGTATTGCTGCCGTACTTCTCGCTGTTTATTATTATTTTACATCGACCTTCGATTTTTGGAAGTCACGTGGCATTCGCGGTCCACAACCAATACCGATTTTTGGTAATTTTAAAGATGTTATGCTTAATAAAAAAGCCACAGGTGATTATTTAATGGAAATATACAACAAGTACAAAGATGAATCCATGATTGGAATATTCGCTAGGAAGACACCTGTTCTTATTGTAAAAGATCCAGAATTCATTAAGGATATTCTTATCAAAGATTTTATCAAGTTTGCCGACAGAGGAATTCCTATTAGTGAAAAAGTATGTGCAAATATTTCAAATTGTATAATAATATTTGAATTATATAAATGTGTTTCAATAACTTCGGCACGCTACTATATTTTTCCAATAATTAAGATTATTAAAAATCGTGATATTAGTTTTAAATAGTCTTGAGTTTCTTCTCAATCAAGTTGTTCTAATCCAGCAAAATGTCTTCTTAAATTGAAAAATTTACTCGATTATAATTATGCTCATTATTTTGCAGGTTGACCCACTGTCGCAACATCTTTTCGCTTTGGAGTCTAGAAGATGGCGACCTTTAAGAGTAAAGCTGTCGCCCGTTTTTACGTCCGGCAAACTAAAGGAGATGTTCTCTTTAATATCGGAATGCGCTGAGCATCTTGAACAATACATAGACAAGAAGCAAAAGTAAAAAAGATGAAAGAAACATCTGTAAATTAGAATAATCATAGTCACCACTGTACCGATTCCATTGTATTGTAACATTTTATGACAATATGAATTAATTAATAATTCGTTTTAATTATTTTTAATTTACGTTGTTGCATGCGTGATATGTATATGATATATAATCTGTTTAATTTTAAGTTTCAATTAATAAAGACGATATTAAGTGAGGAAATTAGCGAATAAGAACCAAGGCACGGTTATTGGTGCGCAAATTTTTTGTTGTTTAATTTCATTGATAAGTATGCATTAATTATGTACGTTTTGGACTGTTTTTGTGATTCATAGATAACAATATATAAAAATTAAATTCAAAATTCAAAGTTAAAATCGGTAAGCGATAACCCAAGGAGAACAGAAATTCAAAATGATGTCAATTTGATATCATATTGACCAAATTATGTCATTTTTTTACAATTATTCAAATCTCGATCACAGATGATTTTTAGAAAATATGGTGTACGTTTCTGTATATATATGCTTATTATTATGAAAATGTATGATATAAGAATAGTCACAAAAAAGTCAGGGTGTTTGACTATTCATATATATCAATGTTCGTATACAAATTTACGTGAGAACCAATGGCCGCGTTCAGCAGAGAAAGCGCTCATCAGTTATCGTCTTGTCAACACTCGACGTTGATTTGTTGGTTCTAAAAGTAAGAGCCAATCACGTTCGATTGCTACTGAGCGGTTTCCTCTGCTGAACGCGACCATTGGTTCTCACGTAAATTTGTATACGAACATTGATATATATGCACATATCACGAATGCATTGCGTGCACGATAAAGGCGTTAAAGTAAGACGACGTATAGCTAAGTGTTTCCGGAATTTATATAAGAATATTGTGATTGTTGTAAAAGAAAAGGTGTACTAATACAGATGTGATGGTACTAATACAAGGTGTAGATAAAGTTAATAACAGACGTACTATTAATAGAAAATTTAAAAAAGACATAAGATAAAAATACCAAAATGTCGAAAAAGTTTAAGAAAGAGGTAAGTGGATCTCGCTTTGCGTATTTTTCATAACTTTCTTTCCTGGCATCTACTAAATGTTGCACGACAAAATTTAACTTATTAAGACCATTATCTTTCTATTCATCTATTCGTTTCTTGTGACACATTTCTTTTTATTTTAACTCTAATCTATTTTATTTCATAAAATACTTCGTCATTCTTATAGGTTACACTTGATCTCAAATGTTTAATATTTTAATATATTTTCTTTATCAATGAAGTGGTAAATTTGTAGAATACATTAAACATTTCACGGTAATAGGTGTTAATAAAAGGTAATGTTCAATTTGCTTCTATCAAATTTGAAAAAACATGCATTTATCATATTTGATTTTTTTCCGGTAATACTATAAACAAAATGTACAGTAGAGGACTCAACTTAATGAATTATTTTTAAATTATATGAATTGCGATGTTAATACATTTTATTTTGGGATATAGGTCATGAAAAGAAAATTATATGCTCAAACTTCTAAAGTCAATGTTAAACGTTTCCGTGAAGCTAAAATTCAAGATCAATTGATTGATCTGATGCGATCGTGGCGCAGAGAGCTGTGCGTCTGCTCTCTGTGCTGAAGGGCTCGAGTTCAAATCCAGCCAGAACCAGAAAACATATCGAATGTTTCGATAATTCGCGATTGCTATCTCTCGGAAGGCAATGGCAAACCACCGAGAGTATCTTGCCTAGTAAAACCTTTTAAATCTAGCCGTTAGGAACCGGCTTTAAATTGCAGGTCCCATATGTCTGCGGAATGGCGCACACGGTAGATGTATGTAGAGATCGCCGACGTCGGGGGGACCCGATAGGGCACGTAGAATCAGAGAGAAGCCTGAGAGCGGCCATCCCGGCGTTTTCCGTACGATAGCTTCTCGGTCCCGTACAGCAGCGCCTCTACGTCCATTTTACAGCCACTTGGAACTACATAGCCACGTCCACTTTCGATGGCATGGTAAACCACCGTTTGGTGTGAGTCCGTGCTACGTCCATAATTGTAAATTCACTAATACGTCCCGCATATAAATGTATTATTAAAGTAAATCTCGATAAAACGATTCTAGAAAACAAAATAATTTTTTTAAGATAATTCTTGTACGTATAAAATAACTTATTTTGTATAATATTTTTGTTATCTTCGTTAAATGTTACGTACAATAAAATACATTTTTTCTTCTACGTAATGTATAACATATATCTGTATTAAAAATTATTTTCCCCCTTTTTATTACCTTTGCAATAAAAGTATTAGTTTTATTTTCGATTTTTTATACCTTTTTTACATATACGTTTAAATACTGATATTTAAACATAGATATTTAAACAAAACAATAAAATTTTTATTTATTGGTACAGATATTTAAGCTTTCATTACTTCTATGAATGTAATTTTTCGTATGATTTCTTTTCGCCGCTTCTACATAGCGATATATATTTACGCATATTTGATACCTCCGCGCGGTTACCGTATTTTCACCGCACTGCTAAAAAAGTTGAACATATTGTTATTAAAAATGCTATGATAATATAATTGTTCTCGTAATATATTCATATCTTTATTTGTATATCTTGATATACAGGGTGACTCGTAATGATCGCCCACTAAATACATAGCGTTATTCCTTACCAAAAACTGAGACGAAAAGTCCTGAGCCATTTTTTTTTTATAACGCTTAATAAAAAAGTTATTATTGAGTAAAGTCTGGCCAATCAGCGCCGCGGAAAAAAAGATTTGGAGAATTTACAGTCAAGTTTGACTCTTTAAAAATAAAAAATAAATTATTACGCTGTCATTACGAGAGGTTAGGAAATCTGTCATACCAACTATGTGCAAGGCAAAGATATGGAATGGTATAATAAAATTATTAATTATTATTTATGGACAGCACACAAGTGAAGGCTTCTCGTTAAAGATTGCGGCGAATGCAATTCGCGAAGCGGCGGTATGGTGTAATCGGTGATATCGGCGGCGCCGGCTTATTGAACAAAGCGATAAATGCGCTTCCCTTCGAACTACACATACCCGGATATCAATTTTGCGGGCCGGGTACCCGTCTCGCGAAACAACTCGCGCGAGGCGATCAAGGCATCAATCCTCTGGACGCGGCCTGCCGCGAGCACGACGTCGCGTACTCGCGGAGCGGCGAGCTCGCCGATCGACACGTCGCAGACCGCGCGCTCGCTGAGAGAGCGCGCGAGCGCGTCGCGGCGAGAGCGCGCGAACGCGTCGCGGCGAGAGATTCGACTCTCGGCGAAAGAGCCGCCGCGACGGCCGTATGGATAGCTATGAAATCGAAAACGAAACTCGGAATGAGCGCGACGAGAATCAAGAGAAAGAAGAGCAAGAGGAGAACAACCGCTACGAAGAAAAGAACGCTTCCAATAACAAAATGCGGCGGCTTTTTGCCCCTCCTGCCGTTATTGGGAGCTCTCGGTTCTTTGGCTGGAGGAGCGGCGGGAATCGCGAAAGCGGTGAACGATCGCAAAGCGGCGCGACGACAGTTGGAGGAACTGCGACGTCACGATCGCGCAATGGAGGGTCGTGGTTTATACCTCGCACTGTACAAGCGCGGAAGTGGCGCGTCCGCGACGAGAAGAAGAGGGAGAGCTAAAAAAAACTTCGCGTAAACAGACGCTAGGGATCCTCCCATCCGTCGGAGTAACGCCGAACGAACAGTTAAATCGCGCGGCGATACTCTCAGGCGTGCCTCACTTTAGAGGCGTGTTTATGCGCGACGCGCTACCATCGCGGGCGCGCCGCGATGAGAGCGGCATCGTGAATTTAGACGACGCATCCGGCCCGGGTACTCATTGGGTGGCGTACGCGAAAAAAGGGGGCGGACGCGATCTACTACGACAATCTTTGGCAATCTTCGTCCTCCGCGCGAACTCGCGCGTTATCTCGGGCGCGATGCGAATATTCGATACAATCGTCGCTCCGAGCAAACGCGCGATCAGAATATCTGTGGACAATTGAGTCTTCGATTTCTCCGGGGGGTCGATTGGAGGAATCGCACGCTATAATATCAACCGTCGTTCGTCGATCGAGCGCAGTTCGACCGCTCTCGTCAATCATGTCGCTAACTCTTACTCTTTCCGGACGAAGCAGCATTCTCGCGGCGAGTTACTTTCCGCCTCTGGATTTAAACGACGATGATTACGAGTTAGGTTTAACCAATTTCGAGACTTATAACACGATACCGAATGTAAATTCCACGAATAATAAATTTTACTTTGACGACAACGACGAGGTTATCGCGATTCCAGTGGGATCTTACGAGTTAAGCGCTATAAGCGCGTATCTAAGAGCCGCGATTCATCGCAAACGACGAGCGAGAGAGGAGAGACGAGAGCGCGGGAACGAGGAACCGGAAACGAGCAATGACGATTATATATCGACGAAAATTCTATAACGCTTCGCGGTAACAATAACACTATGAGAAGCGAGATCAAGTGCGTATCGAGTAAATTTCACAAAACCCGATAACATCGGTTCGCTACTGGGTTTCTCGTCTCGCGTATTACAATCGAATAAATGGTACGCGTCCGATAAACCGATAAATATTATGGCTATTAATCTCATTAGAGTAGAGTGTAATGTCACGACAGGAGCGTATCACAATGACAAATCCGCGCATACTATACACGAGTTCGCGCCTAATGTTCCACCCGGATATAAAGTGTCGGAGATCCCAGCGCAGATCATTTACCTCCCGATCATCGCGCGGACCATTACTGATATAAATGTGCGTGTCGTGGATCAGAACGGAAGATTAATCGATTTTCGCGGCGAAGAGATCACAGTTCGTCTGCACGTGCGGCGAAGACGATAGAGAGGCGCGCGATGCTCGTAGTAAACGGATCGAATGCGAAAAACGCGCCCATCGTCGCTATCGCGTCGCCCCTAGACGCGAAAAAGAGAAAGAAAA